TTTTACAGTTTTAAATGCAGTATGAGGTCTGATGTTTTCATTTCATGTTCGTGTGCATATTTTACTGTTTTATGATTATGGGTTGAATGACTGAGAAACCAATGCTGTATGTGTCTTGTTTGGCATAAATTACTGTTTTGCTTGTTTGTATGTGAATTGATGATACTGACTGAGGAAAAGGAAAATGAAAGATTATGTAGATTGATAATTGTATAATGTGGTCAGCCTGACTAGATATACTGGGAGATGGTGGACGGACCGGGTCCGTAGGAAACCCTACCGGGATTGTGGTCTCTCATACCGGACGGGGTATGGGGACCTTTATGTGTTTTGGCGCCCATACCGGACGGGGTATGGGGACGGCCCGTTTCACCCTCATACCGGACGGGGTATTGAGGTTTATAGTTTTAGCGCCTATACCGGACGGGGTATGGGGACGGCCCTGGAATCTGATTACAAGTGTTAAGGGTTAACGGGTAGCGGGACCCCTATGGATCCCCATGGATACTAGTAGGCTGGTAAATGAGGAAAATATGTTGTGTAATGATTGAATTACAAAAGGCGTGATAAGTATTATGTTATACAGTTTATATGATTTCATGATAATGATAATATTATTGCTTTTGTATATTGTTTTATGAATTTCACCGAGGTAAGTGGATGGTAAAGGTTTTATTATTAATAAAAGGATTTGTTGCAAATCATGCTCCATTGGTCTTTTTGTGTTTTCTACCCACCTTTACCTACGTGACGGTGAGATATCGTGATGTCTTTACTGGGCTAGTGTAGCTCATCCCTTATTTAATCATTTCAGATTAAGAAGACATTGTTCCCGAGCCCGTCCCGCAGGAAGACGACAAAAGGGACGCTTAAAGACTCCATAGTCATATTCAAAGCTTTTACTTTCGAGTCTCTCTTTTAGTTAGTTTGATCTTTTATATTTTGAGCACGTTTTTGGTTTTAGTGTAAGGAATGTTAATCGAAATTTTGACTTCGCTTCCGCATTTGACATTTTTAATACACATATTTCATTTAAAATTTCCGGGGCCGTTACACCACTAGGATTTTTTAGAATAAGAAAATTAACTCTTGGCATCAAAAAGATGGATAAAGAAGAGAGAAGCCCTCTAGACTTTCATTAATGAAGTCAAGTATAAGCGTGTATCTAATAGCCAAGAGACCTTGCATATTTATAGGGTTCCTAATGCTCATCCTAAAAGGAAAAGAATAACTAGAAAAAGAAAACTAGAGAGGAAAGAGCTATACTATTAAATACTACTAATTAGGAAAATAAATCAATAACTAAGTAGGAACTACTTAGAAAAAACACATAATACCTAATCAGGAAAAAAAATAAAAGGAAACTTCTATAAGTTACTTGTTTGAATAATTCCCCTCTACTTAGGAAAGAACTAACTCTGGAGCTAATTATGGATTTAAAGGCTCCTCTGGAGGAAAATATTCATAGAGATCTATAACATAGAAGGTCTGGATATTGTCATATTACCGAGAAGATCAACTAGGTAGGACTTCTTGATTTTCGGCAAAACCTTCAATTCTCCATGTACATTTGGTTACAATTTGTCATAAGAGCCAACATCAAATCTCTCTTTTTGCAGATAGACCATGATTTAGTCTCCAACATTGGATACCTTAGGAACCTTTTGTTTGTCTACAACAGCTTTATACCAACCATTTGACTACTCTATTCAATTTTGAACTTCCACCATGGTTAATTAATACTGATCTATCATATTTCTAGCTACTACATGATGTACGTCTGACAGCTCCAATAAATATAGCACCAGTCAAGGGACTCTTGGTATACACACTTCTCAATGGTGATCTTCTAATTGAAAAATGAACAACTATTTTAGGAAAATTCTGCCTGAGCTTGATCCCACTGCTTTAGTTTGTTATTACAAATGCAACAGATTAGATTTTCCAAAGTTTGATAAACTACCTCAGTCTTTCCACCCATTTGAGGATGAACAATATTACTAAATCGAAAATTTTTTACCAAAGGAACAACATAAAGTTTTTCAAAACCATGATAAAGTTTTGGAATCTCTAACAGAAGTCATAGATCTCGCTACTCCATGCAACCTCACGATTTCTTGAAGAAATAACTTTCTGAGATGTATAACCTCACTAGTCCATCGAGATAGAACAAAGCATGCCATTTTCAAAAACTGTCCACAACTACAAAAATAGAATCCACCCTTTCTGTGTCTTAGGGAATCGAAGCACAAAATCCATTAAAATAACTTCCCAAGGATCTACACATAGAGGTAAAGACATGTATAATCCTGTGTTCTGCACTTGTCTTTTAGCGACTTAGGAAGTAGAGCAGCTATATAGAATTGTATCGAATTCTTCATTTAGTTGCAACCACTGGTATCACATGGTTTTATCTTGACCTAGATACCCTCTAAGTCCACCAACATGTAT